AGCGCTACCTGCGGCTGTTCACCGTCAGAAGTTCCCAACCCGCAGATGTTTCTAAGAACACAGGTGGATTATTATTATGTTGTTTCATGTGGCTCATCAAAGACCATTCATTATTTTGCGACACACGCCTTTCATTGGTAGGTCATGTGTGTTACACAGTGAAATTCCACAATACCAACCAACTTGCCTCCTTGTTTCACGGTACACGGTTGCATAACTGTTCTATTACATGACAATGCAGATCAAATCGCGAATAGAGTTTAACCTTATTTTAGGTCGTAGCTCATGAGTGAATTGACCGAACGATTGCCACGTCTGACGCTATGGAGTGTGGACACATACTATGTCAAATAATCAATTTGAATATTTCTGTCAGTAGTACTGTACGAGGTCACTGGAAGCTCGATTCATGAGAGAAAAGATTTAAGCACTTCTGCGCAGTATCCATGAAAGCCCCAGAGGCGCTAATATTAGTCCCACTCGGGACCCTGATAAATACAATGGACGAGACCTCGAGTTGAAGCTGGGGGCAAGAGGCGGCCGGCTTACAGGAAAGTCGATGAGAATAGCCCCGGAAGGGCCCAGCAGCTCGTCAACAGAGGAAGTTCGTTGTAGCTAGAGACTTATCATAAGAGACTCCAGCTAAGGGGGTGTGTCGGATAAAGCTGTTGACTTGGGTTACATTAGGGTGGGGAAACCTCCGTCCCTGGACGGAGTTTTCTCTAATATAAGAAGAGGGGAATTTTTCATGTATTTTGGGAGAGACATCAATGAACCTACAAGAATTGCAACCGCGCAACGCGACAGCGATCGCTTCGTCCAAAAATCCCTGTTACTTTGGAACATCCTCATCGGTTATTCTACGTGAATTCGCATTGACGCAACGCAGAGCATATGGAAACATGATCCCGGCAGACACTAGCGACTTGTTCTTGATCATGGGTCAGTGAGAAAATAAGAAAGTCGTTTCGAAGCTACAAGTAAAATGCGCACTAAGTTGGCATGTAACGGCCAACCGGTATAATCCGGGATTAAAAAAGCCCGGGATGAGCCTCAATGCTTTGAAAGACCACTGAGATTGTGTACGCATTAGACGGGCCGACTCGCAGGTGTGTACGCATTATACGGGCCGACTCGCGGGTTTCATTGAATTCTTGGCTGGGATTCTAACCCTCACACTCCTACTGCTCCGGCCCGCACCCCGATGAGTCGTAAATCATTAGCAGTACGTGTCGGCGTGTGATTTGCAGTATGACTGCACGGACATCGTACTAGCGTTAGAGTGGGACTGCATTTAACGTTGAAGCTTAAGCTCACGCGTATTTATGCGGCAACCGCTAGCGACGATTCAAGAGCCTCTCCATGCCTACAAGACGACGACGTCCGTACGACTACAAGCAAAAAAACTGGTATCACCCGCAATACCTTTTAACTCTAATTAGCCACCGTCCTCACCGTACACTTCTGTTTTCCACATTACACGATGAGACTGGCAGCTTTTGCTCTAGTTCCGCAGTTTGTGTTTGCTTTCGCACACCCCACCGAGGTAAAACGAGCCGCGACAAAACTTCCATGGATGAATCCAGTCAACTGCCCTGCTTTTAACGAAACTTGTATGGGAACAGAAGTGTTCTGCTCTATGATGCAAAATAAAGAGGCTTGCCTCGCCGAAAGGCAGTCCAAATCTCGAGCTGATTTGCGCAAGAATGGGCTGGAAACGACTGTCGGAGAATTAGACTCTCATGTGTACGGCAGTTCCGAGCGCGCAGGGCTATGACCTGAAATCGTCAAACGCTTTGTCGACGCCATATACTCCTGGGGTGCATCAAGAAGCTATGTATACATTACCGGCATATTACCGGCATATGAACTATGGAAAGAACGGGAGACAAATGGCAATCTGTATCAGCAATCAGGCTCGCAATTATCAATTTCTTAGCATCATAGCAACTCAACAGGTGTTACTGGCTGCTTCCTGTTCGGCTCTAGATTAGCCCTATATGCAAAGCAGTTGACTTCGTCTAGGTTATCACGCTGGAATAATATGGTCGCGAGCTTGAGGCGAGAAACAAGCTTGCTTTCCTTCTTTCCTCAGCTTTTAGATAGACAATCTTACGGCAGCCACATGTTCGATTCTGTCCCGTTGCCGGTTTCAATTTTTGTGACTTCTGGCTTTTTCCTTTCCTTCATTTCTAATACAAAGCAAAACTTCTTTTGTCATCAGATCAACCTCTGTCTAGATATTGAAGTCTTATTTTTGTCACATTATGAGGCTCATTGTTAACTAAGCTTGTCTGTGAAAATTGATTGCTGGTTTTTTTTTTCTATTCTTCAGAAGGGTTCATGTCATTTATCTTTAGTTTAGAAGTCTTCCCAGCCACCTGATGAAATCAGGGTGGCTGGCAGCCGCTGGCTAGACTCTCAAAATACTGATATTAATGATTTTAATGACATCCAGCAATTACGTCAAGTCTGCTTGTTCAACTAACAGAGGCAGCCTTATCCGACAGTTTTTGCGCCGACCCCAGGCCACCCAAGTCAAAAAGCTCTGTCGGATAATGCCTCTGTGGACTGAAGTCGCAGAATTTGGCGTAATTGCTTGTTGTCATAACGTCGGCTATCATGACTAAACTTAGCCAAAAAACAGATGCGGACGAAAGGAAGCTTTTGATATTCTAAAATACTGCTGCAGACTCTGCCTGCAGGACGTACAAGAAAAAAAAAACAATGATTTTTATGAAGAAGCTCAGTTAACAATCTCATAGCGTGACAGTTCCACTTGCGATGCTGTTCCGTTCGCCATACATCTACGGTCAACACATTTAAAATAGTTACATTATCATAAATCATTTGCATCCAGCAAACCACGATCGTACAAGAGCTTAGCCACTGGGTAAACTGCCCGTGCAAAATTGCTTCGCCTTTCTAGCACATAACGTGGTGTGATGTGATCAAATCCATTGATTGACACCCCAGATCGTTGTGGGTTGAAGGCATGAAGAACGTACGTCCTTGACCAGTCGGTCGCCCACGATGGAGAGTCCTCAGAATAGTTCCCCACGCCGGGAGAGTCGCCATCAGACGACGATAAGCGGGCGCCAGGTGGAATGTCCTCCATGTTTGAGGCTGAGTCCTCGTGAACCTCAAAAAGCTGAACGCAATCTTCGCTGTTCCAGCTACCAGGAGCGAAGGCTTCTCGTTCCATAATAAGCATCTCGCCGGGCTCGCTCACTAGCTTCTCCCCAACACGTGTTATAACATCATTGCTGTGGGTAGTCCAACCACCGTTGTATACTTGATGCATCTCTTCGGCCCAGAGATTGATCATCTTGCTGCCTTTCTTCGACATGAAGGTACCAGACATCACTTGTCCTCCAAGTTGCCTCCCGCCAATGGAACTGAAACCACTCTCGCGAAGCATCGTTATGTCTCGTAGTGGATGTGCATCAAAGTCGATATAGGTACCTCCGAACGCTCGAATAGCTTCGACCCGGACAAAGTCTGATTTGTGTTCCACGAGATTAATTTCCGCCCCATTGCCGGCGTGTGTCGGAACTGAAGCAGGCACTACATGAAGACTCGATATACCAAAAATGAGTCTACTCCATTTCCCAGATAGCCCATCTCGCGCTCGTTGAATGGTGCCTTGTGGGGCATCGGTGTGCAAGTATATGGCGTCAGGGTGCCAGTAGTACGAAGCAGCGAACACGGACAGGAAGTCGCTGAAGTCGAATGCAAGCTCGCTGTCAGGGTCTTTGAGGATGTAGACGAAGTGAACCAAGTTAGGAATAGGAATACCCTGTTCTGAGGGGTTCGTCTGAAAGTTATCTCTTGAAGGGTTGTCTTTAGACCTCAACACAAGGTATCCGGCGGTGGACGTGAAATCGTAAAAACACCAGAGCATTGTTAAGGCAGCCGTGGCAGTAAGACATTCGAAGGTGAAACGTATGAACCGACATGACAGACTTCTGGAGAGCATCTTGGCCCCTGTATGATGTAGAGAAAATTTGGCCTTCTAACATCTATTAGTTAGATTTGGTACCTACCTAGGTCGCAAAACTATGCTACAGACGGC